ACATGCACCAAGGCTGGCAGGCCTGGGCCAGGCCAGATAAACAACAATGACAACTGCAACAAAAAATATAACCGGGCATTGTGGTAGGTGCCTGTAGCCCCAGCTATGTGGGAAGCTGAGGCAAGAGAATCGCTTAAGCCCAAGGGTTTGAGGTTGCCATGAGCTGTGATACCATGGCACTATACCAAGGGTGACATAGTGAGACTAGTGAGACTTTCTCAAAAACAAACAAACAGCAATTTCTTTTCTTAGAGTTTTATAGTTCTCTTTATAAAGATCTTTCACGTCCTTCATTAGGTAAACTCCCAAATATTTCATTTTCTTTGACAATACTGTGAATGGAACAGAGTCCTTGACTATTTTTTCAGCATGACTATTATTGGTATATATAAAGGCTACAGATTTATGAGTGTTGATTTTGTAACCTGAGAGGCTGCTGGATTCCTCGATCACTTCTAAGAGTTTTGCAGTTGAATCCCTGGTGTTTTCCAGATATACATCATATCATCTGCGAGGAGTGAAAAGTTAATTTCTCCTGGCCTCATATGGATACCCTTGATTGCATTTTCTTCCCTAACTGCAATGGCTAAAACTTCCATTACAATGTTAAAGAGCAATGGAGACAATGGGCAACTTTTCCTGGTTCCTGATCTGAGTGGAAATGATTTCATTTTAACTCCATTCAATACAATATTGGCTGTGGGTTTGCTATAGATGGCCTCTATCAGTTTAAGAACTGTCCCTTCTATACCGATTTTCTTAAGTGTTCTGATCATGAAGGGATGCTGGATATTATTAAACACTTTTTCTGCATCAATTCAGAGAATGATATGGTCTTTGTTTTTTAATTTGTTTATGTGATGAATTATATTTATAGATTTACGTATGTTGAACCAGTTTTGAGACACTAGGATAAAACCCACTTGGTCGTGGTGTATAATTTGTTTGATGTGTTGCTGGATTCTGTTTGTTAGGATCCTGTTGAATATTTTTGCATCAATATTCATTAGTGATATTGGTCTATAATTTCCTTTTCTTGTTGGGTCTTTTCCTGGTTTGGGGATCAGGGTGATGTTTGCTTCATAGAATGTGTTGGGTAGTATTCTGTCTTTTTCTATATTTTGGAAAAGGTTAAGTAATATAGGTACTAGTTCAGCTTTGAAGGTGTGGTAAAATTCTGATGTGAAGCCATCAGGACCCTGGCTTTTCTTTGTAGGGAGAATTTGTATAGTTTATGCTATTTCAGAACTTGATAAAGGCCTGTTCAACATTTGCACTTCATTCTGTCTAAATCTAGGAGGGTGGTGTGCTTTCAAGTTTTGGTTGATTTCCTTCAGATTTTCGTATTTCTGAGAATAGAGTTTCTTGTAATATTCATTAAGGATTTTTTGAATTTCTGAGTAGTTTGTTGTTATTTTGTCTTTACCATTTCTGATTGATGAAATTGGAGATTTTACTCTTTTTTTCATGGTTAGGTTAACAAAAGGTTTATCTATTTTATTGACCTTTTCAAAAAGAAACCCAAGTTTTTGATTTATTGATCTGTTGTATAATCCTTTTGTTTTCAATCTCATTTAATTCTGCTCTAATTTTGGTTATTTCTTTTCTTCTGCTGGGCTTGGGATTGGAATGTTCTTCTTTTTCTAGTTGCTTGAGATGTCGCATTAAGTTGTTAACTTCCTCTCTTTCTGTTCTCTTGAAGAAGGCTTGCAGTGCTATAAATTTCCCTCTTAGGGCTGCCTTTGCGGTATCTTAGAGGTTCTGATAATTCATGTCTTCATTATTGTTTTGTTCCAAAAATTTTGTAATTTCCTTCTAAATCTCATCTATGACCCAACTCTTATTCAGCATAAGGTTATTTTGTTTCCATGTTTTTGCATGAGTACACAGATTCCTGTTGTTATGGAGTTCACCTTTTATTCCATGATGGTCTGAGAAGATGCAAGGAATAATTTCTATTCTTTTAAATTTTCTGAGGTTAGACTTGTGACCTCAGATGTGATCAATTTTGGAGGATGTTCCATGGACTGATGAGAAGAATGTGTATTCAGTTTTGTTAGGATGAAATGTTCTGTAGATGTCTGTTAAATCCAACTGATGAATGTTTAAATTTAAGTCTAAAATTTGTTTGCTTAGCTCCTTTTTGGAGGATCTATCCAACACTACCAAACGGAGTGTTAAAATCTCCGACTCTTATGGGGCTGGAGGAAATCAACTTGCTCATATCTGTTAGAGTCTCTCTTATAAATTGAGGCGCATTCTGGTTGGGTGTATAAATGTTAATAATTGAAATCTCATCATGTTGAGTGTTACCCTTAACAAATATGAAATGACCATCCTTAAATGGAAAATCATATCATGCTCATGACTGGGAAGAATCAACATTGTTAAAATGTCCATACTACCCAAAGCAATCTACAATTTTAATGCAATTTCTATTAAAGCTCCACTGGTCATACTTTAAAGATCTCAAAAAAATAATGCTTCATTTTATATGGAATCAGAAAAAACCTCAAATAGCCAAGACATTACTCAGAAATAAAACCAAAGCAGGAGGAATCATGCTACCAGACCTCAGATTATAGTACAAATCAATAGTGATCAAAACAGCATGGTACTGGCACAAAAACAGAGAGGTAGATGTATGGAACAGAATAGAGAACCAAGAGATGAACCCAGCTTCTTACCGGTATTTGATCTTTGATAAGCCAATTAAAAATATTCAATGGGAAAAAGATTCCCTATTTAACAAATGGTGCTGGG